GAGTTGTCGTATTTCCACAACAATACGAAAACATTATACATCATTATACACAGCCGCACAGCCCCTGATTTGCTCAAGCTGCCAGAGGATATACTGAAAGCTCTAAAACGGGTAGCGGTAAAGCAGTGGAAAATCGCCCCCAGCATTTGTACATTCCTTGTACGCCGCCTGTTCAGTAAAACACTTGATCCAACCAGACATATCAGGCATGCCATCGCGGGGCTTAGGGCTTGTGGTTTCCCTGTCACGATAGGCGTCACTAGATCACCACAAGTTATGGAGTAGGACCACCAACACAAGCGGATATCAGCCGCTGAAGGTGTCCATACACCCCCATCATCAGGCAGACAACAGTGACGCTAAACAGACAACGTGTATATGTACATGTCTGTCATCGTCAGTCAAAACAACCGAACATGAACGGGGTCATCGTGCTTGCGAGAACCGGCCAGCAGCGATCGTTCTCGTTCTGTCTTGTTCGGTCAAGGCTCTTCGACATTCTTACATTCTTTAACATCCCACGCAATCTTTGTGGTAACACCCCCCCCCCGACACCATGCTTGTCTTGTGGTGCATTTGTCGACGTTAATCCCTGCTAGTTTAAGTAACAGATTCTTTTGTAACGCAGGGTCGATGACCTGCGATGGGCTGGCATGTGGGAGAGGGAAGCGGTGCCTCGTGGACAAGAACAACAACCCGCGGTGCGTGACGTGCGGGATGGACTGCTCCCACCACAAGGCGGCTCCGTCAGACCCGATCTGCGGCTCGGACGGCGTGACGTACGCCGACTGGTGCGACATGAGAGAGACGTCGTGCAGAACGGGCTTCATCATCGAAACAAAGCACATCGGGCAGTGCACGGGAGGTAAGATTTCTTGCTTGACTTTGGGCAAGATATAAAGACATTCGCTAGCAGGATTAAACTGTAATTTCCAACACAAATTTCAAGAAGTGCGACTCATAGTCGAGTACCAAATTTTTGACTGAGCAAGAAATGAGCAATCAAACGCAACATATGACTTTCAACAGTTGGAGAAAGTTTATGGCGTCCCCCGTCCATATCGAAGAGTACGGATGGATTCTACCAACACTGATAAACGTTCAAGCCAAGATAATGCCATGTCTGCAGCAGTTGAAATACTGTAAAGTCAAAGCAGTGTCACTAGTATACTTGTAAGATACGGGGTCTCCAAACCCAGCGTCAATGACATAAGCTGTTGATGACATAAGCTTTCCTCATATCACTCCACCGAAAGAAAAAGACAGAAAGATTCCAAACTTTTCTAACCCCTTAGCAACTTGACAAACCATATCAAACATATGGATGTATAAACATCGGGTCCAGAAACATCGCTAAACATATGCTGGCAACAAGACAAATTGAGTGTCAGAAACTAGTGCTGGCAGATCAGCTGAATCTTTCATAACATGATCTAACAAAAACTGCTTCATAAAAAAAAAGCCGTTTTAGAGCTATGGAAAAACATTTTAGGAGTGCATGTGTCAGGTACATATATTTATGCATCAAGCTGTCTAAGAATCATCCCATTTGTAAAATCCTTTTTCCTTCTAGATAGAATGCCGATGATGACGGACACCTATCTCTTTGAGGGATCCATGTCGGGCGAAGCGGGAAGTTCTTCAACTAGTTTCCCCGATGGGGATGACGACGAAAGTCGGTGAACTGGCATCTAAACTGTGGCGTCTTTCTCTTTCAAAACTCTATCAAGTAAAAGACATTAATATATGCACTGTGCACATTGTCATTCCAGTTTTCCTCCTATGACTATTTTTTTTGTTGTCCTTAGATTTCATGTAGTTCACGCAACAGTGTTGCGGTTACTCGCAGTTGCCGACGGCTATTGAGTTGTTACAGTATGCATGCAAATGTATGGCAGGTTATCTATATTAAGTTTTTTTTAAGATATTGAAATCCAAAGGAAAATATTGTTACAAGGACTGTATTGTATATTTTTATTATTTATGTGTAACGTGGGTGTATGCTCAGGTATTGTGAATTTGCAAAAAATCTCCCCTATAAAGATATGGAATGAGAGTCTTACCGTATGCGTGGTGTAAGTATTGAAGAGATGATTCTGTAAAAATGTGAACTATGTGCGAATGTTCGTGTATATTTTATTGCTTTTTAAACAGTATTTCAGTTACTCTTTTTGCGGCTGATGTATAAAAAGTAGACCACATTAACGCCTCAAACACCAAGCCCGATAACGTTTTGACTGATGCAAAAACGTGTAAAGCAATGATACCAAATGAACACGAGCATACACGTAGATAACGCCGCAGTCGTAAACAGCATATATCTACAACATTACATCTGTGCACATCGGTAACAGTCTGTTAAAGCAGCTAGCTCCATCAAGGTTAGGTATAAGGTAAAGCAGGCTATAATAATGACAACAGACGAACTGTATTCTGCAGCTCAGATATGCCATGTGATACATAAACTATAGGACTCGTAGTAGCTTGGGCGTTCATTTCAATGATCATTGTGATAATTGAAATACGTAGTGCATATTGTACATGCTATTTCTCGATAGCGATGTGTACTACACATGTGGGCATCAAGTAGCGTATGTGGTTGTATTAAAAAGAAATGTTGCAGACAGTACTGGTCTTGTCTTACTTTACTTGTGCGTATGTGGGGTGGGGGTGGAAGGTTTTTCCTATACTCCGGTCTATAGATGCTTTATTTTGGGTTACTGTAAGAAAAACGTCAACTACGTTGAAAAGACGCAGGTAATGGAAGCAAAGGGCGAACTGTAATGCCAAGACTTACTCTCCAAGCAGAGGTTGGTGGGGAGGATTGTGACCTTTTTAATATGCTCCGTTTCTGCTGGTGGGTTCAAACCTCCTTGGTAGTAGCACAGAAAAATACGGAGCATATCAAAATGGTCACTAGTCTTCCCCACCAACCTCTGCTTGGAGAGTAGGAAAGATTGGCATCCATGAACTTTGCGCATTTATACAGTCGAGTCGGACTAATTAAACACACTTATCTATGGAGAGGTCTAGCTGTGACGTACACGTACATGTACAAGACGCGACATGGACTTTCTGAAGGTTTTCCGCTATTCATTGCCTCAGCAATGGCCTCAATTCTGTAGCCAACCAAGATCAACCTAGCACTCCAATGAATTTTATTGCAGAAATGTGTCATATTTGTGTGGCATACACTGACTAAAATTAAAAATTAAAAAAAAAAGTTCGTGCATAGGTCTGTCGTCTGAATGAAACATGGATTTTTGCATAAATGGGTATTAGCATCCTAGGGTCCTAAATTGGCTTGTTTGTTGTTCTTGGACTTCTTGAGCAGTTTAATTCTCCATGTATGGACTCGGCTGCGAATCATGGCCCACTATTTTTGTTAAGTCGGGAAAGCAAGCAAAATGCTTTGATTAGCTGACTTACCGGGGACATTCAACTCAAAACACATGTGCAGACAAATCGGGGTTAACGTGGGAGGCTTGCCATTGGCAATTGCACGAAACAGCTTCATGACATCAAGAGGTGCATAGCCTGGTATGCAGTCTATCGTACACTCAACGGGCTCTCCAAGCCAGGCTTCAGTTCTCCGCCCTCCTGCACCGTTGAACTACGCACTCGGTAGGAGCAGATCCTACGGTGGCAAATAGTCACTCCTCTAGCCAATGGGTTGGGTGAAAAAAAATTCCAGTGCAAAAGTGAAACCCCGATAAAAAAAAACACACCAAAAATAACCGCAAACCTAAACCTCTGCTTGGAGAGTACGTTCAGCCCAGGATGCCTAGCTGTAGCCTGGTAAACGAAGAGTTGCGAAGAGGACGAAAGAGACTCACCCGCAGCCCTACATCTGCATCGTTTGTTCATCAGTTTGCTTGATTGTCTTCGTCAGAAGGACTATGAAATTGTCTCGCCGGAGTGTGGGGACTGCGGATTTAGCAATATAACTCTTGAAGGCATGATTCGACGTCCATGATTTTTGGCAGGCAGATTACCGTTGTTGAGGCCGAAGTCAAGTGCAAGTTTCGGCTTCGTGGGGGGTACGTGCGTCACGTTAAAGCACCTTTTGTGTTTGTGGCTTGTTAGCAAAATAACTCGAGTATATGTACATTGATGTTTATAATTTTTTGTAGGCAACTTACTATTGTTGAGACCAAGGTTAAGTTCTTTAATGGGCTTCGTGGGGGGTTCCGTTGTCACTGTAGCGGACCTTTTGTGTTTAGAAATCCCCCACCAACATCTGCTTGGAGACAGCCGACAGCTGGATATAGCCAGGAATACCCATAATGGATGGGATCAAATGACGTTACATTGAGGGATTGTACTATAATAACTTCAGCAGGGGGAGGATAGGTTGGACATGTGTCAGGTTATTTTCTACGGCCACACCAAGTAATTGCTATGGATGACATCCACTGGAGACCTTAAATTTAATTATCTTAAATTTAAGGCAAAAGCGCAATAAAAACACGAAGGGCCGAAAAACGAGATGCCTAGATTTGGAATATACTAACTGTAGAAACACAAATGTTAGGACACAAATTGAATAAAAGAACGCAGTGTAACAAGAAACAAGTCTTCTGGCAGTAGTCGCCCTGTTCTGATTCTTTCCTTTATAACATCTTCTCTTATTATATTTTGCGACACTGTCCTGACACTTTCAACACAGTAAGAATTTCTTGAAAGTTTTTTCCAGTAACAGTCCAAAATCAAATAACTTAGGGGGGGGGGCTAACATGGGTGACGACGCATCTGTATAATCTGCGGCAACCCGTTTCAGGGTGTTCTGTACCATAAAAAGAGTACAGAGATTCTTTTGTTCTTTAGACCAAATTGATTATTAAAAAGAGTAAAGAATACGCATGTTCATTTCTCTAGAACGATGTACCTCTGACGAAGACATGAGATCTCCGACCTCTAGTTATTAATATATTTATATAATTAATAGTGCCCCCCCCCCCAAAAAAACGCATATGTCATTAGGCAGTCTTTCGAAGGGTCTTCGAAGGACCTACCCGACTCCAACCATCCTTGCAGCAACAGAAAAATAATGGAAGAGTAAACAAAAACTGAAGCGTAAGAAGTTAAGTCGGCACATTCCATAATTTGATCGTCCTCAGCAAATAAATGTTTGTTTTGATCAACTTCATCAAGGTTATCTCCAATTAAATCTGTTTGATTTTGATCAATTCCTCTGTCAGACATTTCCTGCTATAGTTTTTCTCTCACCCTTTGATACTTTGGAAAGTACTAGTAAGTGACACTAGACTTCGAGATTCCCGCCCTTTGCAGACGCTGACGCCATTTTGGCTTCCTGACCAAAACTATCAGATGACTCTTTTTGAGATCCCATCCATCGCCCCCTCTGCCATGAGGAGGTGCCAGATAGCTTCCAATAAGTTAGGATGCTAATTTGGATTCTTCGTTACACACTGTAACTTGTTACTGTACAATCACATTCAAGAAATCTGAAAGATACGAGGAAAGAAATTTCTGTTGATACTCACCAGTGAACTCTGAAAAAGTTACCCACAATCCATAGTGAAGAGACACAATGTGACGTCACATGATTGTCAAGATGGCGTCCTTGCTGAGAAACGGAATACTAAGGACAGCGGGAATCGCTTTCGTACGGCCGCACAGGTGAGATTTCGGCATGTTGACAATGCTCTATGGATTGTGTACTTACTTTTGCAAATATTTTGTGCGATGTTGACGTCAGAGGTGGCTGGAATGTATCGAAATGCGCGGCGAAATTGGTTGACCTGAGTTCGAGTAGTGGGGAGGGGGGCGTCTCTCCAAAAGTACTTCTAAAATTATATATGTAGCTTTTAATAGGTAGCTAGGCCCTAACCCTTGTAGAAAGCTGACGGGTTTATGTGTGTACCACTCTTAAAACCTGAAGCATGGTGTAACACACAAGTTCTGTTCATGGTAGATACTACCTTAGTCTACCTATTTCTCTCCGCAGCATGTGCGTGTTGTTTTTCTCTTGAAAATAACCTGCAGATCAAAGCTAATACTCTGTTTGCATAACTTTTGGAACGATCAGAGCTGCTGCCTGTGTAAGGAATTTATCCCAAGAGACCAGTCCATCAGCAACTACCAATGAAGAAACTCAGATCACCCCCTTTGAGGAAAAAGTGGTATGTCCTGTGTTGTTATTTGCATATATGACTGAGTACATGTAACTTGTGATAAGTAGAATTATGCTATGTCATATTATATAGTGATTTCATACGGAGGCACATACTTTTTATCTTTTCAAGTAAGGCCATAGTGCCCTGTTCTTCCCTGTTGAGACTTAAATGTTTAGAAATTACATATAACATAGGGTGGCACTGATCTTTTCATACTCTCAGAGGTTGGTGCATGTACATGTGGGGGAGATTGTTACCTTTCTTTGATGACAGAAAACAGGGCAGATGATAGAAAGGTCACAATCTTCCCCACCAACTTCTGCTTGGAGAGAACTTTTAATGAATCCTTTTGCAAGCTGAGGTCTAATTGAAGTAAAATTATTATTTCAATTTTAGGCCACACCAATTTAATTTGTTGGTTCTCGGATTCGCCTCTTCGTTTTTTTCTGATTTGCAAAAAAAAAATTGATTCTGGTCCTGAATCAACTGAAAAATGCTCATGTTTTGCCCCCCAACAGTTGAGGAAAGTCCTTTTCTTCCTAGTTGTTACAGTTTTCCCATCTATCATTGCAGTGGTTTGATTAAAAGTTCAAAATTCAATGTTTAAATTTTAACCCAGCCTTTTGTGTTGACTTCATGGCTCATTTTGTAGCATTTAAGCCTATAATAGGATGCCTAGACCTGTTTTTATTTTTATTTTTTTTTCGCCCTGTCGCTTCATATTTTTTCTGAAAAAATCCAAGAATCAACAAATTAAATTGGTGTGGCCTCAATTCAAAAAGTCCTCTCTATCTTGTTTGAAAGTGGGCTTACCTGATGGCCAAAGGTAATCTAGAAACAGATGTAATCTCAGTGTTTTACAGGTGTTTTTGCAACATTTTAAACATCTTTCTTGT